CCACCCCCAAAAAACACTTCAAAGGAAACAACACAGTGTGACAAAAACTACTTATCACCCTTGAAACCTGTTTTCCTTCCTTTTAGTACTAGAACACCTTGAGGTATGGCTTTGCCGTGGCCACCTAGAGACTACCTGCCCTGGCCTCCCTTGCAATGAGACTGGGTGATTTATAAATAATATGGCTGCCTGTCTTGGATTCTTTCCATTTGCCTGCTCGTTTTTGAAATGAAAATGGATATTCACCAATTCCCAACCAACTCTCTGCGATTGCCTTGTTCTCGAAGGGCTGCTGAAAAACCTAATTGTGATTACGGTGGGAGGGGAAGAGAACTACCAATTCTGCCCAGTAAACATTCCACAGAGTACTGTGTGAGGGGAAAATATCTACTCAGTGAAGGGATCCATTAACTCATTGGGTCCTCAGAATAATCTCCGAGGTACATAGTACAGACAGAATTATTTGAACTTGACAATTGAAAAATAAAAACCCAGGAAAGTTGAGTGACAGCTCCAGGTCAGCCAGCTGGTACACAGGAGTGCAGGAGTGGCTCTTATTTCAAATCCAAGCAATAGGATTTGAGTTCTCCACCCACTGATCATGCAGAAAGTTTTAACAATCAGGTTGATTATTGGTGTGGCTGAAACTTAATTATACACTTTATAGACAGGATGGACCGGTCTCCAGCTGACATTTGGTGATTCAGTTTTTCCCCTCCACACCAGCCTGTGTTTTGTGTTGATGCAGAAAGTGCAACTGGACAGCACACGTTCTCTTCTACAGTTAACCTCATCCAGCATTTGAGCAGCATTAGAAGAAGCATCCGAACCGAGATCCAGGGTGATGTGATAGTTGTGGGAAAAGCAAGGGGAGGTTAGACATGATGGAGATGGCTCTGCTTAGAAAAACAAGCGAGTCACTCTGAGTTTAAATGAAATGAACCCTGTAGTTTTGTGATAAAGAAACAGAAAGACATTTGTGCTCGTTACTTAATTCATCTTGCTCTAGGCATTTGGCAATTCTAATAGTTAAAAAAATAATCAGTTAACTTAAGGCTGAGAACCTCTTCTCCCCACCCTAAAATGCCCTGGGATAATTATAAGACCTTGTCTGCCTGTTATAATTCAGAAAGATACTGATCTTGAAAGGCCTTTTTGTCCCACCCCCTTGTATGACACTTTGACTGGCATGGCATTTTGCTTTCTCCCATCTCTGACTGGTTCTGGTTTTCCCAGGTGAAATAACTTGCCAGAAGGGTACAAATCAGTCATGACATATACTTTAATCAGCCACTGACCCACTGTCTGCTTTGTGAAGAACAGACATTTTCTCTTCATAATCCTGTACATGAAGTACTGAATAAACAATAAAAACCTAGAAGAAATACAAGTCTGCATGTTTTCTTTTAAAAGTAAAACTTCATTGCTTTTAAGATCGAATGTCGTATATTTAAAATTCAGTTCAGTTCTGGTGTGTTTTCACATTCCATAAGAGTCTCCAATGACACATTTCATGCACAAAGGGAGGATTAAAACTTGCTTATGATCTGAATTTCTAAAACCCTGAATTTTTATGTTTTGTAACTCAGAACTTTACAGTTTTCTCTTAATTTGCATCATGCATGACTGCTAATGAATTGGGAGAGGCAAAGTTATTACCAGTCTCGGAAAGCAAAAAATTTGACTAGTAGGACTGGTAGATGGAGCATAAGGGCTGTGGGCTTGCAGCAATGTTGGTTCTTTTCCTATCCAAATGGTGATCCAAGGATAGTCCTCCTACTCTTCTTTATAGTCTCTGTCCCTCACTAACCAGTTATTGAGTGATAGCTGCGTACGAGGCCCAGTGCTACACATATAACCACCCTGTGCATTTAGGGGCATTACCATTGTACAGATGAGGAAACCACATTTAAAGAGAGATTAAACAACACGCCCAAGGTTACACAGCAAACAGACATCAAAGACAGGCTTTGGGTTGCTTCCCAAACTGTTTCCTTCATTATTCCACAATACGACAGGATTAAAAGCAACTTGGCCCTATGACTGGCAAAAGTCTTACAGTCAAAATACATCAAGGGTACTTGCTGGGTGTTCTGGGAGGGAAGACAAACACAGGCCCCAACATTCATAGGCTGATTGCTAGGCATTATGTAGAAAGGACAGAAGGACTCAGCTTGTGGATCTTGGACCTGTCCTTTTTCAATACAGCCTTTTGGCATCAGTCAGCCTTTCTTATTGTTGGCAAATCTTCCTCCTTCTGGCCTCTTTTCAGGCCATATAATTATAACACAGTAGGCATGTGGTTCAAGAAGCTGAGCATGTTCAAGGCCTCCCATTACAGTCTTTGTTTCATTTGAGTTTGTCAATTTGACCTTCATTTGTACCTGGCCATTGGTAACTTGCTATATGCACAGGTCCATGCAAATAGCTGAAGCATGATCCTCATTTTGTAAGTCTGCTCTCATGGTCCTTTAAATGATGCATTTTTTTTTCATTTGTGTCAGCTGGTCCAAGGTGGGGACTTATAAAATGTCCTTCCTCCAATAAACCCCTAAATTGTTTGGATGTGGGAAAATAAAGATACAGAAGCAAAACCCATTGTCAGAGTTAACAGAAGAAGAAATGAGGAGGGAAACAATGGTACAGAATGGACACCTGCTTACATAACCAAGGAGGGGAAGGCAGGACAGTGATTAACACAAGATGGCCCATTTAAGGTTTTTTGAGCTGAATGCCATATTTTGTAAATGAAACAGGAAAACTCTGCAAATTGAACAAAGGAAGTGGCTTCTGACCCTTGTCTAAACTCTGGAATGAACAAGCACACCTGATTATGATCATTGTCAAACAACACTGACCAATTTCTATGAAAATGCGAAGGGAAAGAAAGACTTGTAAGTCACAAGCAACCAACAGCAGATTCACTGCACTGTTCACTGTGCACATTCTGATTTGCCAAGATTCTAAGGGAAGGCTGGTTGTTTTCAGTGGAAGCACATACAGTCTGTGGGAGTCTCAATTTTATCAAGCCACATTAGCTTAGAAATTACTTGTGAGTCAACTTGAATTATATTTTTACATGCAAGATTCAGAAAACCAGCAAGACTCCTGAATATTACTTCTTAAAGTAAAAATTTAGGGGAGTAATAAATCACCAAAAATGTTTACATAATCGGTATACCTTAAGAAAACACGATAAGCCATAATTTGATCTTATAAAATGGATAAACTAGGGGTTAGTTGTTTCCTTGGCTGGGATTTAACTCCTGCCCACCCTCTGCCAATGGAAACACCGTAACAGGCATCAAAAGAGAGCTGGTTAAATACATTATATATTTCCTCATAATGGAATACCATGCAGCTTTGCAAAGAGTGAAAGAGAACTGTGTCCAAGTGACCTGAAGAAACATGACAGAGTATGGAGCAGGGTACACAGTCAGATTTCTTTTTCTCTGTAAAAGCTTAGTACATACTGACAAAGTCTAAATGAACCATTTCATGGCCTTCTCTTGACACTGGTCACCGTAGGGGAGACATGGGGACTGCAGAAGGACTTCCTACCCTCACTGACATGTTTCTGTGGTGTTTGCTTTCCTGATTTCTTTTACAATGAATATTTATAAATCGTGGTAAAAAATTAAAATATATAACTGTAAATAAAAATCATTTTGAAGAAATTTGAAATTATATGGCCCTCATTTCTAAATTCTAAATTGTTCTTAGAAGCAAATTTTCAGGTATCCCCTTCTTTCAACTGTTCTTGGTCATAGGGCTTACAGAGACAACATTTTATTTGTGTGATTACATACATGCTCACTCATTGTCCTCACTTCAATGGATCTTGGTTGTGAACTAATCTTTTAATATTTTTATTGGTAATTTTGGATAAGCCTCAATGCTAAACTAATATGATTCAAAGAGCTGGAGAGGTAGTAGAAAGGGGGCTTTTGTGACCATGGCCCACCCTTTTGTGTTGTCTGCATCAGTTTCACAACCATAAAATGGGGAGAAAATGGAAGCTTTACTCATTCTCTTACCTCAAAGGAGTATTGTGAGCATTGATTGAAACTGAAAGGATGCTTAGATGAAGAGCCTGTGGTATGATTAGAAGGACCTAACTTCATGAAGAATATGGCTGGTTTTCGAAAGTGCATTAATGATAGAAGTTATTGAATGCTGTGATGTCAGGATGTGCTAACATAGGCAGTCTGACGAATGGTCTGTTTTTATAGGCCATTGTTTCACTGCTGTGACTCTTCATGATGCAGCAGAGCATAGTGAAGGTGGCAAAACTGACTAGGCAGCATGAGGAAATCTTTTCATCCTTAGAATACTAACCAACCCCGGGGTAGCTGGACAGTAATCTCTATGGACTCTTCTTCAGTTCTTACACAGGCAAAAAATGTATTGTATGTTTGTGCTTGGATCCAAAGAAACAACTTCATAATCAAATTTCAAATTAAAAATAATATAATTTAGCTCTGGAAAATCCAAACCTGAAAGAGTATGACTCTTTACTAACTAGCACATAACTTAGTTTTCTTTACAAAAAGCAGTGATGTTTAGTGTCGAAAGTTGGAAAGTTGTGAAACCAAGATAAGCAAAAATAGAAAGAGAAGGTTATAGTACTCATAACTATATTGCTGAGAGGTAAAGGCACCCCAAAATTTGGCTTACATCTTTACAATTCATCAATCTCTTTATCTATCCAATTAAATATGTACCTGTATTGTTTATGTGCATATATAAAATTTATTTAAATGACATTGTCCTGTTAGTAGTCACTCAAGATAGAAAACCTCCTTGTATGCACTTGTAAACTATATTGTGATCAGTGTTAATCTTTGTGCACACACTTCACACTCAACCTGTGCCTTCCCTGAACCCATTGCTTCACCAATCATTCTTTGCCCAAGACTGTTCAGTGCCTCTTAAAGCAATGTTCCCAGGTCTAGAACAACTCATTGTTCTCCTAAGTGTCTGAAATGATTCACACTTACTTTCCGAGGTTTCACTTTATCTTGTAAATCATACTGGCCAATTCCCTTATAGCTGATTCCAAGCCACCAAGGAAGTCCTTGTTTATCCTGGAACGTAGAAAAGTGTAAGAACCAAAACCTAATTGTTAAATCTTCTAGAGGTAAAGTAATATTCATCAGTTTCATCCTTTAACAAGTATAAGCAAGTCAAAATAAAGCTGTCTTGGTAAACAAAACAGTACTTAAAAAACCTACCTTGTTATTAAAATGTCTTCTTAGAGTTCTTCATACAAGATCTATAAGTCAATACTATTACTATAGTAATAGTCAATACTATTACTATAGACCAATACTAGTAATGCCATCAAAAAGAATAAAGCACCCACCCTGGCTGGTGTAGCTCAGTGGATTGAGCGCAGGCCTGCAAACCAAAGTATCAAAGTTCGATTCCCAGTCAGAGAGCACATATCTGGGTTGCAAGTCAGTTCCCAGCAAGGATGCATGAGATGCAACCATACATTGATATTTCTCTCCCTCTCTCCTTCCCTTCCCCTCTAAAGATAGATAAATAAAATCTTATAAAAAGAGAAAGAAAGAAAAAAAGAAAAATAATAAAGCACTACTGTTTGAGTAAACAGTTGGAGAATAAATAAAATGTAAGTAATTCAAGAACTAATCCAAAGTACAAAGCCAGTTATCTGTTTAAAAAAAAAAGAAAGAAAGAAAAGCTCTTTGTTCTTCTGACTAGTAACCAGTTAAGGTCAGGGAACTTTCCAAAGAATTACAAAGATATAAAAAGTGGTTCCAAATCCTGATGTTTATAATACACTTAACAGTGCACATGGGAATACTGAAAAAAAAAACAGGATGTTTGAATAATGCCTTTGAGTCATATATGGGAAGGGTAGAATTTTCTTCATAAATTTATCTTTTAGGTCTTGAGAAGCAAAGATGTATTGACACAGGGAAAGAAAAACTTAGGGTGAAACATATACCCATATGCAAATCTACTAAGAATCAGTAGAAATTAAAGTTGCATTAGTATACATTTTTAGTACATAGTGTCCTCATTATGCAACTATTTATTATCCAATTCTCCACCATTTTGAACTGCAAACATTGTTGGAATTTGAAAGTCAAGATTGATCAATTAGAAAACTATTCCTCTTTCAAATAACACAACTGTCTTAACCTGCTTAATCTCTTATTATTGCACAATGTTTCTCCCTGCTATAAACATCTGAAAACACTACACAAATACAAAGCATGTCAACTAAAAATTGGTATTGCAAATCCTAGAAAAGTGTGAAGATTTTATGAAGCTATTGAAATAACATTGGAGAGTGCCTGGTTCTCATACAAAGGCACTATCAAATGAATTTCTGGTAGCATTAGAAAAGGGAACAATTGGAAAAGAGAAAAATAAGTAAGAATAGCTAATGGAACAGGTGTACCGATAGCATATGATCTGAATACCTTAGGACAAAAAGGCTTTTGGAAAACATTTAAACATAGCAAGTACTTGGCAGAAGTGTGTTTTATAACTTGCTTTTAAAAAATGACAAGATATAAACAAGTTTTAATATTTTTTAAGAAAATCAATTCTATTCTCAATACTTAAATTTCTAGAGACAATTTACATATATATGCACATTGATTTACGTGATTTCCAAAAGCTGGTGTTGCTCAGTAATCCTCACAGAATTACATGGGCATTATGAAAGTTTAGCAATGCAAAAGTACTTACCTTTACTGCATAATAATGGATTCCGTAAGTTGGTAGAGCTTCTACTATTTTCATATACCTGTAGAAAATGAATATATATTATAACCATAGAGGGCCCTTCTGGGAAAAGTGATCAAAAGAAACACGTTTTGTAACCAGTTCCTTCATTATAACCATGTCTTTGATTAAAGTAGAAATAAAAGAAACCATGCTAAGGACTAATATATTTTTCTTTATCCACATGTGAGGAAGTTACTAACAAAACTTCAATTTCAAAAAGCTATAGGAAATGTTATTTTCTGCATATTAAGAGTTATGTGTTGAAAAATAACTAAATAAAATTAAAAAAAAAAGAAAACAGAGGCAATAAAATAAAAAAAAGAGTTATGTGGCTTAGAAACATATTGTACTATACTATACACTCAAATTGCAAGTATTTTTAAAACTAAGAACCTAATAATGCAAAGCAATGAAAATCAACTTTTGGGTCATTCTCATAATAAGTAAAAAAAAAAGCTATTCCATGTATTGATTACGGTAAACTCTTAGAAATATATAATCAACTCCTAAGTCAAACTTCTTAGAAATATACACTTAAAAATGGTGAAGTTTATGGTATAAAATCCTGATTTAAAAAAAACATGCCCACTCCCCCCCGAAAAGTAAAAATTAAAGTAACAGTGCTACCATTTGCTATTTTTAATTCAACAAGTATTTATTGTGTACCTCTAAGACTTTATGTCACAGACTCAATTATGTAAGACCGCCTCTCTGCCTACATGGAATTGAAGCTTCTATTTGATAAAAGTGGACTGAATAATATTTGAAGATTAATTGCTCAAGACTTTGTAATCAATAAGTTGATCATTTTAAAAGCAAATAATGTACATGAAATGAATATAAGAGCTCATGTAAGTGTGCCAAGGTCATGTAGGAATTACACTCTATAGGCAGGATTCTAATAAATTGAGTCAAATTTTATAGTCTCTAGCCTTAACTATCAAGTTAGATAGCCTCTTATTTGGAGCCACAATGATAATGAGCAGGGGAAATAAAAAGACTATTTAAATAAGTATACTTGCTCATTAGTCTAACTAAAACCCTCAGAGAAATTCCTACTCTTTTAGTAATTTCATTTCAGAAAATAGGCAAAATGAATCAAAATGTCAAGGATTCAACTTCAGGACTACTAACTTCTGGTTTCTACCTTGAAGATCACAGAAGGTATGTTATAATACTAGGGAGATTAGTGTAAGAGGTAAGGATACACAGGAAATCTACATATACACTGACTGGGGAAAAACTTTCTCCAAGGCTTGATTTCAGCTCTCACATGTTCTGAGCTATAGTCAATAGTTTTTTTAAGTTTAGTTTTTATAATTTAAAAATTTCAATGCAACTTGAGAATTTCTTTTTTTTTTTTAAGAGAGAGGGGAAGGGATGGAGAAAGGAAGTGAGAGAAACATCAGTGTGAGAGAGAAACATTGACTGGTTGCCCCTCGTATGTGCCCAAACTGGAGACCGACCCTGCAAACCAGACATGTGCCCTAAAGTGGGATTGAACCAGTGACCTTTCGCTTTGTGGGACAATGCCCAACTAACTGAGCTATGTTGTCAGGGCACTTGTAAACTATTTTTAATAAATGGATGATGACTCTAAGAGTGGAAAAATGCAGAAATATATCATTATGGCCTTTTTTGGTAGCATGAAGAAACAGATTATCCAACACCAATACTGTGTTCTACCCAAAGTAGGGTCACAAACCTGGCAACTAAACAAGGCTGCCAGATAGGTTTTGTTTGGCTCACATTATGTTTAAATTTCTTAAGATTATTTTGCAATGTTTAAAATGGGATTTAAAAATCAGAAATTCCAAATTTTCTTGGAAAATATCAGAATATCTGGTAATATTCTAACAGAATTCTTAAGCTGTGTAGCTTTGCTTCTACCCAGGGCAAAAATCTCTCTAGTTCACCACAGTCCCCACCATTTTCTATTGCCCCACAGTTGGCCTACATTTCTCATTTTTGTTACCTGCCTGACACTGAGGGCATCTGAACTGATGACACCAATATATGGAATTAGCCATGACATTTTATAAGTCATGGTAAGATATTTCTAATCAGATAAGGACTATATGTACACAAACCACAAAACAGAAATCATTTTAGATGGCTTCTGCAAACGAAAGACATTAAAATGATATTCAAGCAAAGGGAAAAGAGATACTTACTGAACCACAGCTTGACCTCGAGTCAGACCTTTGACTTTCAAGTAATGCTCAATTACTCTGTCCTCGCTGTAAAACAAGGGAATGAAAAGTATGACAATGCATGATTATCTGAGATACTAATTCATTACAAGGTTCTTAGGTGGCTACTTGAGAAACTTAAGAAGGAAGGCCTTCATCAACTTGTTTGGGAGAGAAAGGCTGGTTGACATTTGTTTCTGTAGGACATGGATTCCAGCAGGATTCAAACCTCAGACATTTGACTACCTTGTCATGATTTTTAATTTATATTTTATATAATGTATTTATATAATATGTGCTAATACTTTAAAAACTTAGTTTATTAGAAAAAGAAACAGTCATGGCTGGTGTGGCTCAGTGCATTGAGCACCAGCCTGCAAACCAGAAGGTTGCAGGACCAATTTCCAGTCAGGGCATATGCCTGGGCTGCAGGCTAGATCCCCAGTTGGGGTGTGTGTGAGAGGCAACTGATCTGTTTAGCTCCCACTTTTTCTCTCTCCCTTGCCCTCTCTCTAAAAATAAATAAATAAAATCTTAAATAAAAGAAAAAAACCAAAGTATCAATTTATCAAATGAAAAATATCTTTTGTCATAACTGAATAAAATATAATAAATACAAAATAATGTCAGTAAAGAGAGATCAACAACTATTACATATTAAAGACAGTTTCCCAAAATTATTCATAAAGATTTAGAAAAAATTAAAACTGCTTCTGAGTCTGTGTACCAATCTAAAATACTCTATTGTCACTACTTGGGACACACTGCTCTGGGGGAAAATTGTTCATTATTGTCCTAGGATAAAACATTGGCTGAAAAAAAGAGATATAAACTTAAGTCTAGCAACTCTGGCATTTAGCTATTGTATTCTACTTTCAGATAGGTAGCATTTTCAGTCATATTTCAAGTATAAGCTAGAAGAATAAATGTTACTATCACTATATATCTGATAATCACTTGTAATCAGTCTTTTTTTCTTAAGAAAATAAGAAAATATTACTTAACAATGATTTGGGAAATGTATTCCACCTTCCATATTAAAACTATTAATGTTGAACAATTATTTTGTAATCAGTTTTTTTGTAGAAAGGAAAACCACTTTCAGGATTTGGAGCCTTAAACCAAGGAAAATATATTTAAAGGGAAGAATGTAAGTAATTCAAAGGGGGAAAAAGTACTTTTCTAGAAGAAAAGTTATATAAAATATTGATACTATGGATTCATTAAAATACAAATGAATAACTCAAAATATACAATAATTTCTAGCCCTAAAGGAAAGTGCTGATCATTCAGGTCACTTCTGCTTTTTAAGTAAACCTCTGTCTAAGGAAATCTGTATTTGGTACCACTTACACTGCATTCTGCTAGCTCCAGGACATATCACACAGTGACTCCACATCCACTGAGCTTTATGTTCACTAAAGCACACTCTGCAGGCCCTCTACTCACTTCCGTATGAAGGCACTCAGCCAGCTGCTGGTTACAAATGACTATATTCTTCGTACAAAGATTTCCAGGGAACTTTGACAAGATCCTTTCATTGAATGGATCACAGTCTACGTATGGTTACTCTGACACATTTGGTGGGCAATTTGATATTGTCTTCACTTATATTTCTTTTAATTTACTGAGAAGCATGGCTTACCAGTAAGCAAGGGATGGATGCTCCTGAAGAGTTTTGGTTGGAAAGGCTGGGAGTGTCTTTAAATCTTTCCTGGCATTTTCGTCACTGAAAAGAAGAGTATGACAGTAATGTCAGTCACTGTTACCTACAATATCATCCAAGCTAGTAACCAGAATCTGAAATTTTCAGAATCTGAAAATTAGCTACGGCACAACTGGGCTCTATCAAAATGTTCTCAGCACACATAAGACTCTGATCTCTAGTCAGAGATAGCTCCTAATTTGACAACCTTCCCAAATCATTTGATGTTTTAAAGTTTACAAAACCAAAAAATTAAAATAATCATATTAAACTACCTTAACCCCAATTCCCTTATTATCCTCATAAACTTGCAGCCATTTTCATTACATATTTCCTGTATGTATCTATATTACTACATAGTTATTATTATATTGTATGCATTCCATATTCTATTTTAATACAGCATTTTTCAAACTCTGTTATATACTTTATCCACCTTACTATAAGCAACCTCATAATTATCTTTAGTGGCTACATAGCTATTCATCATCTTAGAATACTGGTTATCATAAAACCACTCATAGTACCACCAGTGTTTAATAACAGATATCATTACAATAAAAAGGTTTAGGTAGACCTGTCTATTACTCATATGTTATTTCCTCATAACTCTAAGATAAAATGGACCAAGTTGGCCATCTGCAGAAATCACTGGAATAGATGACTTGAAAATGTGTTTCTAATGAGACTCAAGGTATCATTAAAATTGCATCAAGTAAACTAAAATGTACCCCCGTAAGGTTAGCTGTTATCTAATTATAAAATGGCAAAATTTTGTATGTCAAAAGAGAAGAGTGTGGTCTTTACTGAGTTTAACAGAAAGGAGAGCAGGTGATACAACCCAGTCCTACTTGGTCCTGCACTGTATGGGAGAAAACACTCTTTACCTGGCCCAGATATTTAAGGAGGTAGTCTGTGAGGAGCAGACCTGACTCCCCAGAGTTTATTAGAGCCTAGAGCAAGTCCATAAAAGAGCTACTCAAAACCCTGATCAAAGAGCTGTTCATCAGGCAGCATGTTGGTAACTGCTACTTTCCACTTCTTTATACCTGTACCCTAACTACTCTTCATAGAGAACTTACCAAGAGCCAGGCACCATGCAATGTACTTTGGGGGTATTGCTGACCTCATGTAAGTCTCATCACAGCTCTTCCCATGCAGGAGGTACTATTTTTACCCAGCTTTACAGGTCAGAGTGTGAGGTTTAGAGGGGCTAAGCCACTTGTTCAATGTCTCACAGCTGCTAGGTGGAGAAGCCAGAAGTCAAATCTAGTCTTCTTTGCTTTAATGGCCAAGACCATAACCATTATATTCCATTACCCTATTCCCTGAGAGACTTTCAGAGCATGTCCTAGAGAGCTCAAGTAAACATTCTCATTTCTTGAAAAGGCATAGCTCCCCTTAACCCTCACTCCTAGTTACCAATGAAAATATGAAACCATTAATTTCAAAATCAATCATTTATGCATTTTTACATTAGCTTCCCTAGGGTTTTCCTGAATGTGAATCATGATACTGAAAGGAATGAACCCCCAACACTGAACCGAGGTGAATTTCCTCCCGAAGCATTCATTCAACACTCATACGTCAATTGCTATAGGTCAAATAGGGAACCGAGTACAACCTGAAGACAGGTTTTGTCTGGCCCACATTGTGCTGTGCTGTCTTAGAAACTGCTCACTTCTGTCACTTGATCAGTTTTGGTGTAAGTGACTCTCCTTCATTGTCTACAGAAGCTTGTTTTCTGGTTTTGGTTTCCAAGTTTCTTGACCATCCCACAGGCAACAAAGTAAACTCACTAAGCAAACTGTACACAGACTTACTGTCTTTCAGTAGGAACAGAGAATTAGAGTTGAGTGTCACCTAATTTGGAGACACTCTGATTTATACCTGCCAACATTTCCTTTCAAAACCAGGTTCATGTCCCTTCTTAAAGGTGAAATATCTGGCTTTACAAATTGCTACAGGAAATAAAGTCACTTGGCTCCTGTTCTTACATAAGGATAAATCTCTCTATTCATCTGAAATCTGAACAGTGTCACTTAACCACATTGACAATCTTGAGAAACTGGTTTGGGTTTCCTGAAAACTAAAATATATCACAATCCAATTTATTCACACTAAAGGTCACCTGTCAGCTTCTAGTAATGATATTTACTTTTCTTAATAATTTCTTTTATGTGCTATCCTGTCCTTCAAATGCCATTTCATTTCTAAAGAAGTTGTCTTGTTAGTTTTTTATGAAGGACAAATACATGTATATGTTCTAAAATGACAGACAAAGAAGAACACTTTTGTTATTAATCATCACCACAAACCACATGCATGTTGCATTATCTTCTGGGTCCCTGTGAACTGTATGAGCCCAACATTCATTTATTCTTTGGATTATAGTTAATTTTGTGGCAATCAAGAACTCACTAGAGTAGAAGCTATGATTTACCATAAATTCATTTATTCATTTAGCAAGTATGTATAATGTGTGTGTACTGCATACATAGCATGAGGAAGGAAGTGTCACATGATAAAGTTACCCACTTTCTCTAACCCCATTGGCCGGAATGACATGAATGTTTCTAATTGCAAGGGATACTGGGATATGTAGTCTTTATTTGGGGCAGCCACATGGCTAGCTAAAAATTCTATTAATGTGGAAGAAAGGGATATTGAATACCGGGGAAAACCAATCAGACTCCAGTGCCGATAAGGAACCATCACTTAGGTCTAGGAAATTTCTGCCATGTGGGAATGTGGATCCACTACTGAGTGCATGTTTTAAAAAGGCAAAATCTGACAGTTTTACGCAAGATATGTGAATTTTAAAATATTGCCTCAACCAAAAAAGGAAAAAAAAATGGAGACATTTTTAATTCAGGCCATATATTGTAAAAAATACCAGCAGACCATCACCATGTCTGCAATTTCTGACTTAAACTCTTAGTAAAGAATGGAGTTGCCTTCCCAGCTTCTCAGCTTGGTTTCCAGTTTTAGAAAATTTATTGACAGCTTAAAATTGTTAGTAGTGCATGACTAGAAGAGATACATAAGTAATTTTGACTAAGTTAAATCTGAACCATCCCAAATTATTACATTCTCAGGAAAGAACAAAGGTTATTTCTTTGTATTGGAAAAGGTTCCTATTATTCCTCCAAATCTGGTTATTGGTGCTATTGCAAAACACCTTTCCTTTGTGAATATAAAGCATTACTTTCCTATAAGGACATATTCTATAACCCATTTCAAACAAGCCACCACTTAAATCGAGGCAACTGAGCTGTAACACTAAAAGAGATAGAGCTCCAGCAGGATCCAAAGATGGTTGAAACAAACATCCTGGCAGAAAGATGGGTTAAATTTTCCAAAAAATGGTGCACGGAAGTAGAAATCCAAAAGGCCAACAGATGAAAGCAAGTGTTCAGCTTCATAAGTACACAAATAAATGCATATTAAACCCTCTATGGATCAGCATTATGCACCAGACTACCAAACTTTAAAAACCCTGACAATACCTAGTGTATATGAAGATGTAGGGCAAGAGGAATTCCCATCCATTGCTAGTGGGTAGGGCAAATGGTGTGATCATTTTGGAAATCTGCATACTCTCAGACCCAGGGATCCTTTTTTAGGTATACATCCAGAGATACACAAAAGGGTGAGGTTTATAGCAGCACTGTTCACAATAGGACAAAAAAAAATAACCCAAATATTCCCCAACAATTCTATGGAATCATAAAATTGCAGTGTATTCAATACAATGGATGACTGCAGATCAGAGAGAATATACCGGAGCTTCACACAACATGATGAATCTCATGAATATTAAGCAAAGAAGCAAGAGCCAAAATACATACATTATAATGCCATATATATAAAGTTCCAAAACAAATTAAATGAAACTGGAGAGAATCCTATAGAGATGATAAAAGTATAAAGCAAAACAAGAAAAGATGTACCAGAGTCAGAGTGCCTCTCAGGACAGAGGATTTTATTGTGGGTGGGCAGGGTACGAATGAGGGGCACTGCACTCAGTGAAGTGGGCAGGGTCTTGGCAACATTCCTCACTTGGACGTGTTTACATGGCCGTGCATTTTCCAATTTGTTCGTTAAACCCTATGTGCAGGTTTTATTCATTCTTCCCTAGGACAAAATTCACATGGAACACTAGATCGAATCTGGCTAGTGGGGGCAGTGAGGGTGCAGAAGGGGCGGCCTGTGTAAGAGGCTAGGGCTTACTAACTAAAAAATTTAACCATCATCATGTTAGAAACACTGTCCTGTTATACTAAAGTTAATCCCAGTCATTTTCAGAGTTCAGAACCAAACAGGATTTCACGTTTGAGTGGAGGACAGTGCTTGAGTGTTTATTTGTTTGCCCTTGGAAGCACCTTGGCTGGGGAATTTGCCTGGAGCCTGAGGCCACATGGATACTCTGAGGCCCTATGGATACTCTGAGGCCCTGGGGCTGGGGATCCAGTGGGAGGGACTGAAAGCAGCCAGGAGGCTGAGCCTCCGGAAGGGGACGTCTCCGCCTTTCCCCAGCAGTAAACGCACTCACCCTGTCTGGCATTCTTGACATTAATGGCAAATGGAAGTGTTATTTTGAAGATGCACTTAAGCAGAATTGCCAAGGAGCACCGATTCTTCAGGTCCTAGCCCAAGAGAATGCCTGCAAATCAAATACTTGCTACTTCACAGAAACGAAAGCAGCAATTGCTTTTCTTCATAATTTCAGTAGGACTTCAGATGTCACGATGAAGAACGAGCTTGTGTTTTATCTGATTAGGCTCACCCTACCCTTTAGGTATTCCAGACTCCTGTTCTGACAGCTTTCTGGAAGGAAACTGTCCAGGACCCACCAGTTAGCCACTGCAACAGTGTTTCAGCAAATGCTTCTTCTTGGCATTCTTCAAGACCCCTTTCATGCCTGTTGTTTTTCTTCACTGACCTCAAAAACCCTGTAGGAATGTGCCAGCCTCACTTATTTTGGGGAAAGCCACATGGCTGGCAGAACAGAGGCTACTCCT